CAACCTCGACCTACTGGACGAGGTAAGAGACCTCGCATACATCCGGACCGCAGCTTACCAGCAAAGAGTAGCTCGGTACTACAATGCCAGAGTAAAAAAATGGAACTTCCGCATTGGCGACCTGGTTCTCCGTAAGATCATGGCACCCGAGCTTGGCGTAGGCAAACTTGGACCGAATTGGGAAGGGCCTTACCGAGTAAAGAGAGCGTTCGGGGGGGGGGGCATACAAGCTCAAAACTTTAGAGGGCAAACAAGTACCCTGAGCGTGGAAAGTCGTTAACTTGAGACGATACTACCTATAGATCACCAAGCGAAGTGGATTAAGTCGCTACCAGAGCCTAAAGGCTAAAATGCCGAGCTAACAAGGACCTCAGCATGGGCAAGCAAAGGCAAAAAATGCCAACCAAAAGCTCAAGCAAAGTGCTAACAAGGAACTAATAGGGACATTGGCATCTCAGAGGCCAAGTGTTAACACCAAAACATGCCGCACGAGTGCAGTGACCCGGGCAAAACGGATTGGGCATATGGTCAGTTCGGCAATACGGTCAGTTCGGATGAAATAATGACCAACACTTAACCAAAAGAAAATCATTCCATTGCAAAATACTTTGTGTACATTTCCAAGAAAAAAAAAACAACAGAAGCGAGCTCATAGGCCCGGAGGTACTTCTTCACCATCAGAAGGCACTTCAATGATACTCGAAGGTCCTGCCTCGTCCTCAGAATCTGGTTCACCGTCAGCAGCGTTGGCCATCTCCCGAGTAATGCGCGAAGTGGTTATGGCGCTAATATCGAGCTCGGGGTACGTATTCCGGATCATCCACCGGCTCAGTTTAAAGCCCCTTCTGTACGAGCCCAGCATCAGGTCGTCAAAGCGCGACGAGACGATATATTCATCGACGGCCTTCTTCTTGGCATCCTTGATGCCCTGAGAAAAGATCTCTGTCCTCTCCCTAATATCCTCTTGAAGGTATTCAACCTGATGCTGCAAGTCCAGCCTCAGGTCCGCCATATGCTTCACCACCACTCCCATGGCCTCGGTGTCTCTCTGAGACCTCGCCAGCCGGGCTTGTGCAGCGCGAGAAGCCGCTTTAGCAGCCCGAGAAGGCACCTCGACAGCGCGGAAAGCGTCTTCGGCAGCTCGTGCCCGCCGCGAGCTCCTTTCCGCTTGGGCCGCCAAGGCATGGATAGAGGAATTCACCTACCAAAAGAAAAAATAACGAATGTTCAAAAGAGCAATAGCAAGAAAGGTAATGACAAGGAGCCCGACAAGAAGTCGTTGACTTACCACCATGACGTGAGAGGTAGCACGCACGGCTACATTGTTAAAAGGAAGCTCGGTCCACACCACGACCTCCTCAGGGTAAACGGCCTCCCTACTTTTTTGAAGAGCGTGGTTCGACGACAACATGCTCATGAACTCGCCTTGGCCTCCTGAGCCTGAAGGCCCAGCTCGCGTATAAGCAGACTCAGTGTAAGCAGGAGCCCCCGTATAAGCAGCCTCGGCGTAAGGGGCCCCTGCCGCTTCTTGTACGGGAGGGGCCATCTCGGGCTCCCTAGGCGGATCCACTGACGGGTAGCCCGGTACCTCGGACTCCGCATCTCGGGGCATTTTGGCACGAGTCCGCTTGGCGACTCGCTTCCTCCTCTTCATGACATGGAAAAGGTTCCCACCGTGAGTCTTCTCTGCGTCCATCGCACCTGCAAAAAGAGCTCAGCATCCGGAAAACGAAAAAAAAAATGGAAAGCAAAACAAAAGGCAAGCCTCTGAGCAAGGAACCTATCCGAACTCAGACCGGCCTCGATGAGCTTGGCCTCCGTCAGATAATGGTGGCATTTTAGCCCAAGCCGTGCCCATTCTCAGAGGCCCTTCGCCGTCTCCCTATCAAGCGTGACACCGGCATTGGGGGCAGCCATCCCCCACCCGGTTTGGAACGGCCACCCCATTGCACTTCGCACCCCGAAGTAGTCCCGTTTCCACGTTGGGACCTTGTTAGGAAGATCGTGTAAAAATTTGAACCCCAGGCGAGGAGACAGGTAGTACGCCCGCCTACGCCCGGGGAGGGGACCCGCTTGCTTCTTAAGCGTTAGAATAGAAGAAAAGATCTCCAGGTCTAAAGGCAAGATCTGTTCGCAAAAGAGGGAGATAGTCCCCACCAAGTTACGAATAGAATTCAGGTGAAGCTGGCCGACGGTAATGCCGAAGTAGTTCATAACCTCGACGATAAGGGGGTGGACAGGTAGGCGCAACCTAGCGACGAGCTGCTCCCGGAATATCATGATCTCATCGGGACCGTGTTCCCAAGGGAAGTTGCCCGAAGGTATAAAGTAAGTGTACTCCCTAGGCAAGTTGAACTGGGTGATAAGGGAGTAAAGCCCCTCAGGCGTCATGGTCGTGGGCCCAAACTTGTCTAACGTCTGACCTCGACGGGAGGAGGACGCCAAACTACCCGAGGCAACTTGGCCTACAGGTTCGAACTCTTCCTCGAGCTCGGGCTCTACCTCGGGTCACTAAGGCTGTTGGGGGATACAGCTCGGTTCGTAGAACCTGCATCTGACCCCCTCGAAGAGCTGTCTGAGCTATCTGAGCTAGACATTGGGAGGAAAAGGATACCAGGAAGAAAGTAGACTCACCCGGTAAAAAGGCAAACGGACTACGGAAACTTGGACACGAGTTAAAAACTTGGACGCGAGCTAAAACTTGGACGCGAGCTCAAGAAGAAAAACGCAGGAGAATGGCAATGAAAAGCGACTAGGGTCCCCCACTATTTATACCCATAAGTGACCAAAAACCGACGGTTCTGATCGAGGCAAATCCAACGGCCCACGATCGCGCTGACCGCACGTCTCCTAAGACCGAGACGTGACTGGCCGCATATCTTTTGAAACTGAAGCAGAGCCAGCGCACGTCTCCCCGCATTAAAGGCGGCAACAACGCATTTTTCAAATTTGAAATAGCGCCCACTGTCATGTCTCCCAGCGGCACGTTTTTTAAATTTTGAATTAAGTGCGCGCTGTCACGTCTTTCAGCATTTATAGACGGATTGGCACGTTTTCTTGACTTTTTGGCGCTCAAGAAACCCGGAAAACTCCCGGCAAATGCGCACTTCACGCTATCAGTCAAACTAGTTCGAAGTACGGGTCAAATCCACCCGCCACCTCGCAAACTCCCCGCGCCAGGGCGAGCCCCTTAGCGCGAGGAGTGGGGGGCAATTAATGAAGGAAGATTTGGCCTGACCTTGTAACCACTCAACACGTGGCAGAGGCAACAGCTCGGCATGACAGTACGCCCCAGGTGCAAGCTCCAAAAGGAGGAACCAGCGGTCTGAGCTCCCCAAAAGGAGCCCGAACTCTCCCTTTGACCCCGAGCCTTACGAGGAGCGCAAAGGGCAACAACCCGAACTGGCCCGCCCCAGGGCAGTTCGGGCCACACCTCTATCCGAACTCAAGACTTCTCCTCGCACACCACTCCAGCACTTCGTCTCCAAGTTGCCGAACTGAACAACCGTACCGTACCTGACACCAAAGGAGTCCGTATCCTGAGGCGGTGCACCTGATTGACTTAGGATCTGACGCTTGACAGTCGCCCTTCAACGGCCACCTGCCACCACCGCCTCTAGTTACAAAGACGGCTCCGACAAAGAGAGCAGTGGCGGTTCTGCCCCAGCAGAGGTGATGACACCCAAACTGGTAGAAGTGCAGAGGTAATGATACCCGACCTGACAGGAGCTTGGGAGTGAGTGCGCGAAGTTGGTATAAAAGGCCCCCTTGCCCCCAAGAAGAGAGGTATGTGATAACTTTGCGCCATCTGGTCTTTTATCTTGCCTTTGAGGAAATACTAACTTGAGCTTCGGAGCACTCTCACCGGGTTCTTCCCCGGAGATTACTCGCTTTTCCTCCGTTTCAGGCACCTTTTACTCCAGCCCGAAGCAAGATCGTTGACAGTTAGAATCGGCCGGATTGCGCACCATCAATTCTTAACTAAAATTATCTTATATAATATCTATTAAATTCATTCTTTTAATATGAAATATAACAAAAAATACAATATATATATATATTATTAATTATGATTGATTCAGATCTGAATCAATTGGAAACAGCAACAGCTGAACCTGACCCAATTATTAAACTAGGCAAAATCATAGAACGAGATTCAATATAATCAGGAAAAAAAATCATGCTGTCACTGAGCGTACCTTGCAAGTAGCTCGGGAACATCTAATTTGATGATCCCTATACCTTTCATTTTATTTTTTGTTTTTCTATTTATTTTTTGGCCTATACTATTTTTTTTTTCAATTGAATGAATTTCAATTTTCGAGACTGTTCCTCAATGTTTTATGTTACCGCAATCGGAAGAAAATAGAAAGCTCGTTTGTGAGCATGATTCACTGAATGACGTGTATTTTGAGCCCGAACCCCTATGCAGATCTGCTCCTTATTGAGCGCGTCTCATACCGATCTCATAGCATGTCCTAACCGTATATTAAGAATATTTCTCGTACTTATATCTATAAAGAGAGTGAGATGTGACTGTAAAATCGGTGTGAGGCGCGCTATGTGAGCAGCAGATCTCAATTCTCCCGCGACGGTCTTGTCTTCTTTTATCTCCGATGACGTGGCTCATTAACTGACGTATCGTTGCCGCACCGTCAGTGGGATTAGGTAATTTCACCTGTGGGACCCCTATTCCATCCACCGTCGAAGAGCCGTGCCGTCAAATGTGTTGACCAGAGGCGACGCCTACGTGGAAAGTTATTACCGCTTCTCCATGACTCCATCACCAGGATCACGCTATAAATAACGGCGGACTCACCGTCCCGTTGACGGAACGAAACGGAGATCCATTTTTCCTACTCCCCGATTCGCGTGGTGCCGCTTCTTTCCCCCTCCAAAAATCTGCCAGCTGTCAACCTTGCAATGTAACGTGACGTCATCTTTCTAGCCAAAACACGAAACGGCTGGTCTTCGTTCACCTTCTCGTCTCTTTTATTTTCTCAATCGTTCGTTCTACTTCTACCGCTACCAGACCAGCAAAGAGTTGAAAACCTCTCTACTCATCTTCTCTTTTCCCCTTTCTTATGGAAAAGGGACTGGAAATGACTCTCTTACACCCCGGTAAATTTGTTCGGAAAATTCCCGGCGGCGACGATAACGTAACCGATAATTCCGTCGATCGGAAGCACACCATCAAAGAGATGGATTTTTTCTCTGATCATCATCGACGAGTTGAAGCTTCTAGATCATCCAATGGTTGTCTCCAGGACCAGGAGAAGAGGGATGTCTTGGCTCGGACAGAGCCAGGAGTGAAAGTAAGTGCTTGAATTATAAAATTTTCCTTCCTTACTGCACATTTTGACTTCACTCCAACTATGGTGTATATGATTCAAGATTCCTGGCTTTCTGTTATAACTTAGAAATATTAATAGAGGTATGTTGCGCCCAATTCTTTTAACTTTTTTTGTTGAGAATTAATTTTAACACCGGTTTATCTTTTGCAGACTGGATTGAATCTTCTTACCCTGAATTCTGGAACTGAACGATCTCTTACAGAAGAAAAACCTAAAATCCAGGTAAGGTTTTATTTTACAAGGTGATTCGTGAGATCTTGATTCATTTCGTTTATTTATTTATTTTTAAATATTTCGAAGGCTTTGCTTTGGATTAATGTAGTTGAGCACACTTCAAGTGGAACGGGACCGTTTGATCGAGGAGAACAGGAAACTTAGAAGCATGCTGGATCAGATAACAAAGAACTATAGTGCTTTACAGACGCAACTACTATTGGTGATGCAACGACAGAAACGTGAGAATGAACATGATGAGCAGGTTAGTTTGACCATCGATCTCTCATCTAGTAAGCAACAACTGTGAGTAAGTTGGATGCGATAGATTGTACAAATTCCCATTTAAAAAGGAAGAGTTTATCTATCCATAAACATACAACGAGCAATTAATCCTCTTTTTGGAAAGTTGTGCTTCATCTAGCCTTTTTAAAATCCAATTAACTTTCCATTTAACACCTGAACAGTTTCCATCAAAATCATCAGACATGGTTTCCACGTATTTTATATTATATTAGTAACTAGGATTCCAAACTATGTCTGGTTTGCTTTAATAAAGAGGCATGCAAGAGCTAGCCTAATTAATTAATTAATAGTTTGGAACCCGTACTTGTAGATAATTAACTTGATTCTTATACGTGCACATGCAGTCTATACAGTATTTGTTTCTATACATTATTTCTAACTAATATTGATTTATCTCTATTTCAATATGTGCTATATAAGTTTTAGTTATACTTTTTAAGTATATAAATAGCTCGTACTGTGTCTGTTCCCTGTTGTACTGTTTGATTTGCAGCAAAACACCAACCATTTACATGCACTTTATTTTGTATAAGTGTTTTTTAAACAAAATTGAAGTTATGATGCTCCTGTTGAAGACAGTGCACCCCCTAAAACCCAAGCATTGATCTATACATCAGCCACATGGGTTCGGCCCAGCCTTTGTTATAAAGCCTGGCCAAATACATTGTTAAAGACAGTGCACCTCCTGAAACCCATCGAATGGGCTCTATGGGCCCATCACTTACCCTAAGTGGTCCCTGGGCCAAGCCACCTTGTAACAATACCCAGGGACTGTGGGCAGATGCAAGATTAGCCTATCAGGCATTATCCTCAATGGTCTTACACTTAACCTCTCAGCCCATAATGATCATACACTGCCCG